GACTTCAAATCACCACGTGGCATTGATGTTACAATGACTGAGTGGGCTGCCCATCTCATGCGGTACAAGGATGGTAGATTTGCTCGACATCCGTGGTTTCGTTATTGGGCTCTTAACACCATAATGCGGCACGATGCAAAGTACCTTTCTAAGTGGTTTATGACCACTCATCGTGATGACAAAGTGTTGAATGTGGAGGATATTCGACAGATGTTGGCTGAGGACAATGCCAAAGGGCTCGCAGATCGTGTTGCAAGTTCAGGTAGCAAGTTACCTGGGTCTCGGCCATTCTGGGCAAAAAGTCAACGAGAACTGGTGGCTCAGATCCGTTCACCACAATGTGGAACACCCCATCTCTTTGTAACATTCTCATCTGCTGATGTCCAGTGGCCAGATATGCATCAACATATGCCCAACCATGATCCTGATGCTGAAGAAGATGCCCATTCATACCGAATTCGCCAGAAGGATTTGAATGAGAACCCCGCCCTTGCTTCCTACTACTTCCAAAAAAGATTTGAGGTGTACTTTGAGGAATACATCAAGAAAAAATTCAAAATTAAAGACTATTGGTGGCGATATGAGTGGCAGAGTCGTGGAAGCAGCCATATCCATGGGTTCTTGTGGTTAGAAGATGCACCTTCTGTGGACAATATTGATACAAATGATGCAGAACAGGTTAGTTGAGTTGTATCATTTAGGTGGTGCTTTTCCTAACTGTGCTTTAGATGCAGGAATTCATCCAATACTGGGACCAGCATGTATCAACCTGGCATCCGGGACAGACAGTTCCTCCTGCAGCCGTGCATCCTTCTGCAAGATTGTTCAGCACTCTTGAAGATACTAAACTGGAGTTGGCAGAAATGCTAAACAGGCTGCAAAGACATACAAAATGCACACCTACTTACTGCCAAAAAAAGACCAAAGAAACAGGCCAGATCTTCTGTCGTTTTGGCTTTCCAAAAGTGTGTCGGGAACAGACCAAGTTTGAAAAGGCTCCAGATCGGCAGTTCTCAGAGCTACACACACGCAGAAATGATGAACTGCTGAATTCATTCAATCCTGGAATCATTCTGACTTGGCGCGCGAATATAGACTTTCGACCGGTTATCAATCGTGAAGCAGTAATTGCATATGTTGCAAAATATGCAAGCAAAGCAGAAACCAAGGCGTCATCATACCCTCAGGTTCTGCAGACAGCCATATCACACTTGAAGGATGATGTAAATGGAGGCGTGGCATACCAGAAAATGCTCTCAGCCTTTGCTGCTGAACGGGATGTGTCTGCACAGGAGACATGTCATATACTCCTAGGCTGCAAACTTGTGCGGAGTTCACGTTTACCCCCACGGAGCATCTGTGTTGACCCGGACACCTCATCTGGGATGGTTGATTTTGTGAATGGGACCATTGAACGACTAGGTGTACTGGAGCGGTATGAGAAGTGCGCCACTACCAACCCAGATAGACTATCAGAAGTCAGCTTGCTACAGTTTGCTACTCACTGGGATTGGCCAAATAACAAGATCAGGCGCCGGGGAGGCCGTGGTGCTCTACCATACATTGTCAACATTTGGCCACGGTATCAGCCTGACAAGAGCAACGAAGAGATGTATGAGAAGTACTGTTATGCAAAATTGCTTCTCCATCACCCTTTTTCTCGGCGAGCTGAGCTGCTGGAAGACAATAGTCTACCACGGATCTCTGAGAATGAGCCTGGAAAGTATGCAACATGGGCTGAGGCATACCAGGCTACATGTCTCGATCGGAACCATGAACATGAACCTGACACACTACCTACCAGTGCAATTATTGAAGATGATCCAGAGAGTGATTCAGAGTCCATTACCCAAGATGAAGAGGAGGAGATGAACTATCGTGCCGAGTGGATGCAGGAGGCTGGTCGTGCTCCCAACGACGCAGTTCACTCCAACTTGGATAATCTATCGAAACGGGACATCGACCTGAACTATGATTGGCTTGAAAATTCACCTGATGCAAACACAATCAAAGCAGCAGAAGCAGCCTTAGCAGGTCTTGTCAAAGAATTGCCAAATGATGAGATCCAGGGTCTTCCTGAAGGAGTTGACTGGAGGCTACTGAAAGGAGAGCAGCGGGAGGTTTTCCTGCAAGTCATGGCTTACTTCAAAAAGCTGATGTCTGGGGAACCTGACCCACCCCCTCTTCGTATCAACATTGATGGAACAGCTGGAACAGGGAAATCCTTCCTGATCTGGTGCATAACTTCTGCACTCCGTGAGTTGTATAACGTGGATGCTGCAGAAGACGGTGCAAAAGACCCTACTGTGCGCTTGGCACCAACTGGAATCTCTGCCTATGGCATTCGCGGATGGACCATCAACTTTGGGTTGAGTATCCCAGTCAAAGAGAAGGGCGAATTTGGCCAGCTCTCAAGTGCAGGCTTGACTCGGGTTCAGACACGGTGGAGGAACATCAAGTTGCTCATCATTGATGAGAAGTCAATGATTGGGCGTGCACAGATGGGGCGATGTGACCGCCGCCTTCGTCAGGCATTCCCTGAACATGCCCATGAGACTCTTGGAGGAGTGGCAACACTGATATTTGGGGACTTTTGTCAGCTTCCACCAATTGGAGACACACCATTGTATTCAACAAAGCCTGGATCAGGAAGGCTTGCTGGACTTTCTGGTGAGGGAAGGGCTGTGTTTGAGTCCTTCTCTCAGTCAGTGACACTCCAAACAATATTCCGTCAACAAGGCCAAGAGCAGAATGCTTTCAGAGATGCCCTCCTTCGTCTACGGGAATACAGAACAAATGAGGTGGACTTCAATCTGCTAGCCACTCGCTTTTGGGATCGGCTTACAGCAGAGGAAAGGGATGAGTTTGCAGACACACTACACCTCCTCCCAACCAAGGAGACCGTTCATCAGTTAAATACCCGAAAGCTGGCTGGATTGGCAAAACCAGTGGTGCTGTGTCATGCAAAACATAATAGCACTGAGGCCAAGAAAGCATCAGACGAAGATGCTGATGGCTTGCAAAAAGAGGTACTACTTGCAGAAGGTGCTCGAGTTATGATTACACGCAATGTTTGGACTTCAAAAGGTACAGTAGTATTTTGGAAACAATATCTTGTTGCTCATGGACAGCAGGATTGGTGAATGGAACTCAAGGCGTGGTCAAGAAAATTTGGTATCATCCTGGAACTGATCCCAAGCAGCATCTTCCAGCTGTAGTTTTTGTCAAGTGTGATGAGGGAACATATTCAGGTATGCTCACAATTGTTTAAACTGTGGCAAGTCCACTTAAATGCAATTAAAGGACCACAATTTCCGGAGTGGGAGGGTGTTGATCCATCTTGGGTACCCATTGTGCCTGTCACCGCAAGATGGGATGACCGAGCCGGAAAATCTCTGACACGGACACAACTTCCCCTGACAACAGCATGGGCCATCACAATTCACAAAAGCCAAGGCTTAACTCTGGCTAGAGTTGTAATTGATTTGGGCCCCAAAGATTTTTCTGCTGGATTATCCTTTGTGGCTATTTCTCGAGTCAAAACACTAAAGGGCCTGGCATTTCGCTCACCTTTTGCCTTGGCTCGATTGCAACGCTCAAGTGTAACCGAGACCAGGCAATTGCTGTACCAGGATGAGGCCCGACGAAACCAGCTTGGATTTACTTTAGATACATATGGGATGGACTTGGATGAATTTGTATTTCTTGATTAAGTCATCCCTACATGGGACCTTGGCCTTATCTTAATCTTAATCTTAATCTTAATCTTAATATACATCGCAAATTTTCAATAAGCTGTGAAATAATTATTCGGATTTAGCAAGCTCCCCATTAGTAGGACCGGGAACGGTCATACAAAACATATTTGAAGCTCCCCACCCAGGTTACCGCTGGGACGGTCCCCCCTGCGAAGCCCTCCACTGTTCCCGTCATCATCATCAGTACTACTCTCTCCGGGGGAGAATTCACATTAGGTTGTGGCACAACTGACGACCGCGACAACCAAAAGCACCAGTTCGTCGTCGACACTGCCGTCAAGCTCGTCATTCTGGACGCGGCCCTCGTCACAGCGACTACGCCCCTCCTCTTGTTCGTGCAGTCGGGCGTCCGCGCCCTCGACCACTGCATCGAGGCGCTCTGCTCCCCATACTCCACCGAGGTCACCGAGATGCACGCGAAAGCGAGTGTCGGACGGCTCGTCCCGGGATTGCTGCGCTGCATCGCCGACGGCGACTCCAAAACGGACGTCGAGGCGCGCCTCCTTTGCCAGATGGCGTCTATCGACGCGATCGCCTCGTGCGTGCGGGTATACAGCCCCCTCGGTGGGTCTCACGCCATCGGGCACATCTTGGGGCCGTTCGGCGTCGTCCACGGCGCGACGAGCGGCATCCTCCTCCCGGCGGTATGCGAGTACAATGCGCGCCGCAGCGCGGATGCTGCTAAGCGCCAGGCGGATGCCAAGGCGATCCTTTGGAGCGTGCCGGAGATGCGGTCGTTGGCGCAAAGCAAAGGGTTGGTGGAAGCCGAAGGCGGCGCGGATCTCGGAGATCTGCTGGATGTGTTCGTGCGCGCGTTAGGCATGGCGAGGACCCTCGCGGACGTGGGTGTTGGATGGGACAAGTTTGACAAGTTGGCCGAGTTTAGTGTGCTTGACCCGTCCGCGCTGACGAACCCCGTCCCGCTGAAAGAGCCAGCACAGGTCATGGAGATTCTCGAGATGGTGGCGGAGTGATACGTTTTGTAGGTTAGTATGTAGAGAAGTACCGTACATGTTGAAGCCCACTGAACTCAACTTCTTCCTCGATGGGTGAGAGATCAACAGAAATTGCATTTTCTGATGGCATCACAAATACCGTGACTGTGGATTTTCAATGTGATTCCAACGCACCTACTCCAATCTGATCAAAATTGAGGCCAGCTGTTCTGCCGAAAACTCGCAAAAACAGGAAAAAAATGTGCCCGCATTAAGTTCAGCAAAAAGCCGCAACATTATAGCACCACGTCCTGAAGTGGAGTCGAACCACCGTCCAAGTAGTACAGTTGACTTAGGACTTATAAGACACTGCGGGCTGCCACTAGCCCTTCAGGACGACGTATGGGAACGAGCAGCTCGTAATGATGAGGTAAGAATACTTAGTACTCTGTACGGGTAATGGGTGGAGGCCGTGCGCACCCTTCCCGTCAATGAGACTTGCTCTCTTCGTTGGGATCAAGAGAGGCTGGGACACCTGTGGCGCCAATGCTAAAGTTAAATCTTTGATGAAAAAATCTGTTTCCCATGTCCTGAGTAGTGCTGTCAAAATTCGGTTCAGAAATCGGTCCGAACCTGAACCGAACGGGGGGTTCAGGCTCAAGGTTCGGGGTCCAATGATTTTCCCGAACGTCTTCGAACGCCGAACCGCAAAATAGCCTGTTTAAACACAATTGAGGCATATTTTTGGGGGTTTAAGGTATTGCCACCTCTACTTTCCATTATCCTTCATATTACCTCATAACCAATCTAAAAGGTTTCCTGATGCTTTCACGCTTTAAGTTGCGAGAGGGTGGCCTCACGTGATCTGATCAAACTTTGTTCAGCCTGAGTTTGCTCAGATATATTTCTAGGTGTGCTTCAATGTGCCTTAGCATGCTCCGGTGTAAATTAAGATGGTAACATACCCTTCCAAATTTTTGGGGGACCGCGCGGAGGTGGTTTAGGCGTGGAGATTCAAAAGATCGAACGCGTTCGGGAAAAAGCACCCGAACCTGAACCGAACCGAACTTTGACGGCACTAGTCCTGAGGTAGAATTGAACTACCCACTGCAGTTGAAATCTCGACGGCAGCCATCCACTAGAAACTGCAGGCTACCATTAGCCCTCCAGGACGTCATTCCATTGTTCTATGGTAGCTCAAACCAAGCTGATGGGCATGGGTCGAACTGCTGAAAATAGAAGGGGCGCGGTTTTGAGAGTATTACTGACGGCTCATGCAGCCGTTTTGCTGAATCGATGGCCCTGGCACTTGAAAAGCATTAGTTTAAGTTGGGCTGTCCCAAGAACTAAAATCGGGACTAAAGTAGGAAGTCGGAAAATCGAACCATAAACCACAGTTTAAATGTAGGCAGGCACAGCTCACCAGTAACTTCAAGTTGACGAGACTCTGCGGCCCGCTACCACTAGCCTTCCAGGACGGCGCATTATGTGAACGAATTACTCTTAAGAATCAAGAGATTTTAATCATGGTGCGCGTGATGGCAGCCTCAGCTTGAGGCATGTCACGGTTGTTTGCTTAAGCGGATATCTGGACAAGGGGTTACTTACTGGTACGGTGCTGGCTGACTGAATCATCGGTGCGGATAAGTAGTCCCGTCGGTCCGAAATTTGCATGCCGTTTACGGTCGAAACGGACGGGGGCCGTCGCGCGTTGGAACGGTCCCCTGTTCGATCGAACCGTGAACGACAAAAACCACACGGCCACATTCACGGCTGCGGCGTATTTAAACATTTGATGGACTACTAGCAGTGGAACACAGCATGCGCACTGGCACTCAACTGGTGTGTTATTTGTTACACGACGAAACATATGACAGCACTTGACTAGTGCCAGTGGCAACTGGCACATGTATAGTAGTTCTATAGGTGTTCAGGGTTCCAGTCCACACTGTTGAGGCGGCACTGGGTATATGAAGGATGAGATGGGTGTGAGTCACACTGTTCAACCCCAGCAGGACTGCCGAGATGGAGTTTGACGATAATACCTGCAGGCGACCAAAGGATACGAGCTCATCATTCGTACGATAAGCACCGTCGGAAACTACGATTACCTATTCGACTACACGTTCCAGCTTGACGGAACGATAGAGGTGAGGGTATCTGCAAGTGGTTACCTTATGGGCGCATGGTGGACGAGGAGGAGGCGGCGTACGGCGCCAAGATACATATAGTCATGATCAGTGCCTGTTTCCGCTAGAGGCGACTTAGATCATGTCTACTTTCAGTGGGGAACGTTCACGACCACGTTATGTCAGGTTTTAACGAGGTGGGTTCAGGGATCATGCTGACCCGTTTCATTCAGTAACTATAAACTCGATTTTGACATTGCGGGGGCGCGCAACTCTCTGATGGCTGGAAAACGAGATCGTGCAGCAGCCCTGGCTCGAGGACGACTGGGGCCAGCTGCAGGATGTTCACCAGCAAAAGATTGTTCGGAAGTTCGTGACGAACGAGAGCGATGCTTTGTTGGACTACCCGAAGAACTATGAGGGTGTATACGTTATCGTTAACCAAGAGGAACTGAACCGCTGGGGCTACCGTAGGTCCGCCTTTGGTAATGCTTCGCTCACAGGCAGTTCAGCTCGTGGATACGCAATCCATCCTGGGATGTCGCCAATCCATTTAGTGCGCTTTCTCCCTTTGTATTCTGCCGTCTCGTGCGCTTCTGACATGTTGGCAGACCAACTTAGACAGCAAACGGACAGAGAACAACGTCAATTTCGCCAAACACCACCTCGCTATATCTCGCAGTAAAGAATCGGAACCAAGCTCGTCGACGACGTGGAACCTCAATCTACCCGGTGCTCCCCGTCGGTGCCAGTTGCTACTTTGAGCGTTGAACATAGCCCCATAAATTAATCAGCCGTCAACTTTTATGATTTCTTCGACGGGGTGTATGGTTGTTTTCTGCCTTTGATCAACCTGATTGTTGTTTCCAGTGAATCATCGAACAAGAGGATCACCGCTTGGGTCAACTTGGGTCAGAATGTGCTCTTGGTAATTGCTGGATGATTGAAATGATTGAGAATATGTATAGACATACAGTTGAACACGGACAAAAAAAAGATAAAATAAATTGTGTCGAGAATCGAACCCACGCGGGATGCCGCCCAAATCGAACTGTGGCGATCCGTAAACGTTATTCACACCGCCATTTTTGATTCTTACACAGGGCTACCAATCACAACAGGTAGCGTCCTTGCTGTCGACCTCCCTCACTGGCAAAATGCCGGAGGCACGCTGCTCGGCTGAAAACAGGGAATTAGAGACACTTGTCAGACACTGCAGCATAGGCAATAATACCTCCAGAGGTAGTGTCCTTGCTGTAGACCTCACTCACTGGCAAAATGCCGGATTCAGAGGCACGCTGCTCGACCGGCACCGCTGAAAAACATGGATTAGAGATGCTTGTCAGACACTGCAGCATAGGCAATACCTCTAGCCTGCACGACACAGAGAACCAACGCAACGAGGACAGAGGCAAAACGCATGATTGCTGTGAGTGTTGAAAGCAAATGGCTGAGTTTGAGATCCAAGTGCCAAATGCGCATCCCTTCTTATAGGACGGCGTGACGCCCACACAGCTAAACCCACATAGACATTCATATACCCGCTTCGATTCAGGTCTATGTCTCCGCCTCTACTCCATCTTTACCGCCGCTCAACTCGGAATACTCGCCGCTCAACTCGGGCATACTCGCCGCTCAACTCGGGCATACTCGCCGCTCAACTCGGGAATACTCGCCGTGCTAAGTAGTACATATATTGTGTGTCCGATCTTATACACCAAGTGGACAAAAAGAATGTCCGATCGGTTTTGTGATGAGTTCTCCATGAAAACAAGATATTTTGACATGAAATAAAATGCAAGGCCATTGAGATGGCTCAGCTCCACATTTTCAGCACTTTTTTGGGATCAGAATTTGTTGATGTGCCATCCAAGGTAGGCAAAGTACGGAAATCCCGAGTTTTCAACCTGAGTAGTGATTTTTTTTCAGGACATTCTGAATCATCCAAATTGTAGTTCAATATATCCCTATCATTTTCACAAGTCGAACTATGCAAAAATATACAGGCGTTCGAGCGCCGTAGAGCCCACAAAGTGGCCATATTAATCAAATTTTAGCCAAAATAGCCGTTTTGCAGTTGCCGTAGCGCGTTATTGCCTGTATATTTTTGTATGATTCAACTTATGAAAATGATTGGCACCTCTCAATCTTCAATCTGACTGAATCAGATCAGATTATCCCTCAAGAAATTGTTAAAAGACTTGAAAAATGCGGATTTCCCATTTTTCTCGTGTTGAGCCCCGCATGATCGCGTATCATTTTTTTTTGATTCAATCAATTGACCAGATAGGTTTGTTTCTCCTGTTTAAACGATGTAGCATTTCGGGGGGGGGGGGGGGGGTTAATTGCTTGTCCCGCAGTAGTCGGAGAACTGATCAGACATATACTAACAAACGAGGTACGAGCTTCAAGTTGTTATAGAGTCTGTCTACGAGAAGATCGGACATTCTTTTTGTCCACTTAGTGTATAAGATCGGACACACAATATATGTACTACTTAGCACGGCGAGTATTCCCGAGTTGAGCGGCGAGTATGCCCGAGTTGAGCGGCGAGTATGCCCGAGTTGAGCGGCGAGTATTCCGAGTTGAGCGGCGGTAAAGATGGAGTAGAGGCGGAGACATAGACCTGAATCGAAGCGGGTATATGAATGTCTATGTGGGTTTAGCTGTGTGGGCGTCACGCCGTCCTATAAGAAGGGATGCGCATTTGGCACTTGGATCTCAAACTCAGCCATTTACTTTCAACACTCACAGCAATCATGCGTTTTGCCTCTGTCCTCGTTGCGTTGGTTCTCTGTGTCGTGCAGGCTAGAGGTATTGCCTATGCTGCAGTGTCTGACAAGCATCTCTAATCCATGTTTTTCAGCGGTGCCGGTCGAGCAGCGTGCCTCTGAATCCGGCATTTTGCCAGTGAGTGAGGTCTACAGCAAGGACACTACCTCTGGAGGTATTATTGCCTATGCTGCAGTGTCTGGCAAGTGTCTCTAATTCCCTGTTTTCAGCCGAGCAGCGTGCCTCCGGCATTTTGCCAGTGAGGGAGGTCGACAGCAAGGACGCTACCTGTTGTGATTGGTAGCCCTGTGTAAGAATCCAAATTGGCGGTGTGAATAACGTTTACGGATCACCACAGTTCGATTTGGGCGGCATCCCGCGTTGGTTCGATTCTCGACACAATTTCTTTTTTCTTTTTTTGTCCGTATTCAACTGTATGTCTATACATATTCTCAATCATTTCAATCATCCAGCAATTACCAAGAACATCCGTTAT